TTCTTTGTCCTCTCTCCCCTCTATGTCCTCTTCTATCTCGATCTTCGACCTCTCTTCTGTCTTCTGCCCACCACCACCGACGCCACTAACCACCGCCGCCACCAAGTCCGCTTATTTTCAGGTCAAATTTGAGGTTAGTGCATGTTTCTGGGTTTAATTATTCGGGGTAAGGGTTTCCGGGTTTAATTATTTATGTTATATGCCTTAATTTTTTTGGGTTTGATTGTTGTAATATTGTTCGAAATTGATTGGTGTAATTGATCTTTGAATTATCTGGGTTAATTGATTTTGTCATTTTTTGCACTTAATTGATTATTCGAAATTTCTGGGTTTAATTGATTTTCGAAAGTTTTGGGGTTAATTGATTTTCTGGGTTTAATTGATTGCTGGGTTTGATTGATTTTCGAAAGTTTTGAAGTTCGTAGATTTGCTGGGTTTTATTGGGCGATTAATTTGGGTTTTCTGGGTTGAATTTCATTATAATTCATTGTTTGTGCGGTTTTCTGGATTGATTTTCTCTTTCTCTTTCATGCATGAGTTTTGTGGGTTATTGTTTCTCGTATTTTATTTTTTTTACTTTTAATAATTTCTGGGTTTTAATTGATGCATGTGTTAATTCATGCAACAAGGATTCAAGACTTTGATTTTGGAATATTGTTTTGATGTTGTAATTTTTTTTTTATTGTTTTACAATATCAATTTCTGAGTTTAATTTCATTATAATTCATTGTAATTTTTTAATTTTTTCTTTGTATTGTACAATAACAATTTACTTGTTGAATATAATGTGATTTACCATTGTTTTGATGTTGAATATAACAATTTCAAGACTCCGTATTTTACCATTTATTTTTGTTTGGTTTGTATTTCTGATGTTTGTTTTTATATTATTTTTATTATTATTGCAAGAAAAAAGTAAAAAAAAATAAAAAAAAAAAAGAAAGGCAACGGTTATAAGAGCTTCCACTAAAAAATAATATTGTGCGGAACTATTTAAGGCACCGGTTTTGAACCGGTGCCAAAAAGGGGGGTAATTGGCACCCCTCATATAGGCACCGGTTCAAACCAGTGCCTTAAGCCGGGTTTGAACCGGTACCCTTTGCTATTTTTCTACTAGTGAGAGTTCGTATCTACTCAACCACTTATGTGCTTTGATCTTTTTCCATAAGTTGAAGCATAAAATTCGTATAGTCTCAAATCTCTTTTGCCACATTACCAAAAGTATGCTTACTCTAAGAACTGGCAGTTCTAGCAATGTTTGAGATCACCGCATCTCCTTTGTGCCACACCTCCTCAATGATTTCCATACTCCTCTCTTCTGGAAGCCATATTTCCTCAAATTTAAACAGTTCTTTTTTACATTTGAAGTACCGTTGATACTCCCTTTCATACAAAAAAGTAGAAGGCGGTGATCAAACTTACATTTTGCAAGATGAGACACAAAATAACCCATATAAATATATTTCCATGCTTGATTAACGAGAAAGCGATCAAGATGTTTTTGTATATTCTTCGCATCTCCCCGATTATTTGTCCATGTAAAGTCATGCCCTATGTAACCAAGATTGAGAAGATAATTACAGTTATTCAGAACCTCTTTGAACATTGTTGCATTGTGCACATCAAAATCATCACCCCCTTCTTCTCTTAAGTTTCTAACATTAAATTGAAATCTCCCCTGCATAACCATGGAAAATTATGATCATAGTTTAACGTTTTCAGCAATAGCCCTATTTTGTGCTTATTTTCTTCTTTTGGGAAACCATAAATCCCTGTAAATCTTCAATCTCCTTGTGACTCACCCTCCATCATTACATCAATATAGTTTTGAGAAAAAGATATCACCGCAATCTTTACATTGCTTTTCCATAACAAAGCTAGGCCTCTACTTCGCTTCCTTCCCTCCCCATTACAGTCCACTGTCAGCAAATAATCAAACCTCACTTTTTTCTTTACCTGTTTCATCTCACGTTGTTTCAATATTATCTCTAATAGGAAGATTATTTAAAGATTTTCAGTTGAGACCAACCATCTTAAAGCATTCACTACAAAATGACTCCCAACCCTTTGTAGTTCCATGACAAAATATACCTCATTTCTCCCGAAGAGCCCTATAAGTGGGGCCCGCCACATTATCGTCATGCATTACATAAATCGTTTTGTTGGTGTCAAAGGTTCCACATCCATCCTATTTATACCTTCATCCACCTCATCCTCTTTCATACTGCTTTTCCCTTCATCACCTATCTTTAACTTTTTTACTGTATTACCAGACATATCACCAACTTCTGTTTCCTTCACCACAGACTCCTTTCTTTTCCCACTTCTTACAACTTCACTTTTTTTTATACTCACCTACTGCAGGCTTCTTTGTGGCTCTATTTTTAAACACTATTTTATTTCTTTTCTTTTTTTCATTTATAGCTCCCCCCAATATTGTACTGAGTTACCAAAGCGTTTAGTCTGGAGAAACTCTATCCACAAGTCCAAAGGAACTTCATTTACCAAGTTTGAAGATTCATCACCCCCTTTATATTCTCTTCATCAACCTTGATAGAAGCACCCTCCTGAACACCATTACAGTCATTGACATTTACATCTTCTAATTGGTGGGCTACATTCTGTATATATGTCCTTCTGTAACTATTTTGAGATACTGCTCTTTGCTTTAGTAACAAATAGACATCTTGCCCTCGGGTTTGGACCATCACTATCTTGTACTACCTCCTTTTTTTCAACCTGTCACAAGGACGAAACACGCACTACAAGAATTGAACTGTTTACCAATGGCCAAAATTCATCAGTAAAAATAACAAAAACTATCGGTATCACGTTTACCGATGGTTGCCATCGGTATTTGGCCAACGGAAAGCCATTTGTCGGAAAAACAAGAAATACCTATGGAGAAGCCATCGATTAAAACTATAAAAGTGATACTAATGGCAAAAAACCATTATATTTTCTTTAAATACTGATGACAAACGTTGTCTATGTTTTTGACCAATGGAAAAAAGCCATCGCTATGTTTGGTTTACCGACGGTAAATTCAAATTAAAAAATATATATATACCACCCACTGCCCCCTACCCTCATACAACAAAGCTAGGCCAACCGCCCATGTCCACCCTAAACCACCACCACCTAAAACCACCCACGCCGACCAAAAATTTATAGATCACCTAAAAATTCGAAATAAAAATCAAAACTTATGAAAATCACCCAAAATTTGAATTAAAAAACCACCCAAAAAACAAAAACCAAAAAATTGAAAAAAAAAAACCCAGAAAAATCATACAAAGAAAGGTCAAATAACAAAAATCGAGGCAATTAACCATGATAAAAGCAATTAGCGAAATAAACAATAAACTTACAAAAACAAAATAAACTCACAATATTAAACAAAAATCAATATACCTTTGAAAATTTCATCTTCTTTTGGGTTTAAATGGTCAAACTCGACCATGAAAATTCCACATCTGGAATTTTTATGGTTGAGTTCGTCCAAAAAAACCATAAACTTTGAATTTTTATGGTCGTTTTAATGCGGGAAAAGAGGTAGAGAAAAAAGAAATCGAAAGACATGAGAGATGAGAGAGAAAACAGACCGTGGAGGAGAAAGGAGAGAGGAGAGGAGAAACTTTAGAGGATAGATGAGAGGAGAAGAGAAACGTTAGAGGAGAGAAGGAGATAGGAAAAGGAGATGAGAGAGAAGTAGAGGAGGGAGGAAAAAAGAGGCAGAAGATGGAAAAAATTGGGGTTGTTGGGTTTGAGCTTTAAAAATCCAACTTTTTGATCAGTTTTTCATTTTTTTAAAATACTGATGGATTCAAGCCATCGGTAAAATACCGATGGTGTAAAGCATCGGTATTTATTTATTTTGGTGAAAAAAATAAATTTACTTTTTTTGAAAAAAAAAACATTACCAATGGAAGAAAACTATCGGAAAATTATTTTTTTTATTGATAGATTTCATTGGCCATCGATATTCCCATCGGTAAATGAGCTTATTCTAGTAGTGACGTAGCTTGTCATCAAATTCTTTTGGAAAAGAAACACCAAAACTAATGTCACAATCTTTATCGCCATGTCCCATCATACCACACACATAACTATACATAGGTAGTTTTTCATATGCAATTCTGAAAAACACCTTAACTCCTCCGTGCATTTTCCACTCCACTCCTTTCTTCAATGGCTTTCGCGGGTCTATCATTACTCTCATGTGTAATGACTTATAAATTAACTCCTTCTCCGTGAGACTTGTCCAATTTTACAAAGGTACCAAGTTTGTTTCCAATATTCTTTGCATTTCCTTCATTGCGTAGCCCTTTAAAGGGTAAATCGTAAAACCTAATCCAGAAAGAGATGAGATGTAATGGGGTTTTCAAAGGCTTGCAATCTCCGTGAATATCATTCAACACCAGAGCATGCGCTCAAAGTGCCATGGCTTGTCATCCAAGACTTTCTCCTTATCCCTCTAATGGTGAAATTGAAAATAGAACACATTTTTTTCAATACAGTTTGCTTCCATTCCATGCTTTAGATTTTATACTCTCTTCATCATCGAAATTAGGACATTCACATTAACATTTCGATCCGTCCAAACTTTCCCTACCATCGCTAGAGACGATTTTGCCTCCTTCTCCTCTTCTTCATCAATAACCCAGTGTATCTCTGTTTCTTCTGCCTCTGTTTCATCGCCAGAGACTTCTCTTTCATTTTTATTCTTTTCATAAGGAAAAATTGCGGAATTGGAAGAAGCCATCAAAGAGAGATGGCGAAACAATCTCGGAAAATCAAGAAAACCTTCGAAACAGAAGAAAAAATAGCACCGCTAGAGTCTCCCTCCAAAGGAAAACCTAGGGAGAAAGATTAAACGTGTTAATTAAGAAAATCATTCCGTACAAGTTAATGGGTGATCACTGATTAGAGATTTCTAGACTAAGAGTTGTGTAGATATCGTCAAATAATTCACGTAGAACTGATTAGAAAAAGTTAAGATTTGACATACCCACTTCAATCACCGACTCATCTCATGGATATTACCCCTTGATTGAATTTGGTTATTCTTACCTTCTTACTCTTAATTTTAGATTTGTTAATGAGTCTTCAATCTATTTAATTTTAGATTTATTTTATGTAGCTAGCCACACAGAATTCACGTCACAATTAAATTTATTTTTCATTGCAAAAAAAAAAAAAAAAAAAAAAAAACTCTTTAATCCATCCCAACAATTCCAAAGCAAAAGTGAGAAACCTAAAAATCCTGAAAACACATCAAAACAAGCATGGAACCCATACCAAACCCAGAACAAGAAGCTGCTGCAACAATCTCATCAATGGCGTCCCACCAAAACTCCATCAACACTTTCATGGAGATCACCTCCTCCACTCTCGAAGAAGCCCAATTCTTCCTCGAAAGCCACAACTTCGACGTCGACGCCGCCGTCTCCACCTTCTTCGAGTCCTCCTCCGCCCCTCCTCCCGCCGCCACAACCGCCGCCGACGACGACGCTGGTGCTGCTGATGCTGATTTCATCCCTCCTTCTTCTCCCTCTGCTTCTCTCTCTCCTTCTCCTTCTCGCTCTCGCTCGCATTTTCCTCCCGCCGGAGCCCGATCGCAGTACAGTCTCCGATCTCGGAGAACTGCCGATAACAACGATGGTAACAATGCAAGCTCTGATTCCAGGACTCGTCGTCGTGTTGGAGGTGTTCGTACTTTTGCTGATCTCAGTGCTGCTGGTTCTGATAGTGATTCTGATGGTGATCGTCCTGCTCAGTTCTTCACTGGTGGTCAGAAAAGGTACGCCCTAATTGATTTTGGATTGATTAATTTGATTGTTAGGGTTTTAATTTTGTTACTCTATCTGTTTTGAATTCGTAATTCGGGACGAGTTTATAAGGAAAGTGATGTGATTAATTGGGGACGGAGGGAGTATTTAATTTACGACGAAGAATGATGAAAATTGAAGGTCTATCAGTACTTTTTTGATGAATCTTGAATGAATTGGATGAACAGTTACTGCTACCCTTGAATTGCTGATATATTTTTGTTAATTTACTACTGCTTTGCAACTTAATTGTCATGTTTATAAAATTGATGTACACATTTTGATAGTATTTGAGAAATGTTTTGGAGATCCTCAAAAGGTTTGGAAGATCAATAATTCTATTCTGATTTGCCTCTTGTTGATAAGATTTCTGAGTGAGTATAGTCTTCAATTCGAGCCCTGATTTTGTTGTAAGTTAAATTTGGCTTACCTAATGCCAAGCTTGAATTTTTGGTTCGTGATTGAATGTAGCTTGCTAACTAGTTGTGTTTAGATATACAACATACATTTGGATATAGGGTTAATCATGGATAGCCAGTTGAATCTTTTTTGCAGAGATTTCTGCCTCTACTCTCTGTTGGGGCATAGATGATCAAAACTGTTACTTTTTTTTATTAGAATTTACAAGTTCGTTAGTGGATTGTATTCATAATAAGACTAGTTCATGTTTGATGAAAAGGTCATGAAACTTGGTATTTTCCTTTCTGACGCAAGTATACCGTATGGAACAATGTATGCTGTTTTTATTTGAATTTCAGATCTCTTTCATGGGGTTGTGCACTTGTGCTTTTGCCTCTCTTCCCCTCTCATTTACTCACTTGTAGGATGGTGCTTTATGCATGATGCAAGTTTAGAACTTAAATTGATAATGTTTAGACAACGACCACACCTAGTACTCTACTTCTTCTAAAGAAGGTCCCATTCTAGATGGGCAAGGGAGACGATGTATGAAAATTTACCCCTAAGATGCCGAATTGGCTGACCATCCTAATATGTTTTTTTCACGTCTCTAAACGCAGGTAGTTTAATGGACCCTTTTGTTTTGGTCCACTGTAACCCAAAAGTCAAAGAGCATTGATTTGTTGGACTGCGTGACCTTTTTTATGCTTTGGTAAATTCAGATTATCACGGGCTTGTCCTGTTTGATGTGTGTTATACTGTTGTGTAAATGCTGGAAAGAGGTTATGACTCTTTGTTGGAATATAAAGGTTTCAGATTCTTTCACTTATGGTGCAAAATCTTTGTTTCACATAAAATTGTTCATTTTTCTAGTGTTGGAATGAAGTTACTAGCTCATGTAAATTTCGGATTCTTGGTTAAGATATAAATCTGTATGCTTCTCTTGCAGTGGCATGGTCGTGCAAGATCCTTCCAAGGATATTAATGCTGAAGCAATTTTTGAGCAAGCTAGACGTGTGGGAAGTATCGAGGCACCAGTTGATGCTCAACAACCATCTTCAAGCTCAAGAAGCTTTACTGGAACAGCTAGGTTACTCTCAGGAGAGACGCTGTCATCTTCTCCTTCCGAGCAGGCTCCTGAAACTATCACTCATACTATCACCTTATGGCGTAATGGTTTCACAGTTGATGATGGGCCTTTGAGGAGATTTGATGACGTAGAAAATGCTCCATTTTTGCAGGTAACCTCCAAATTTTGTCTGTAATTTACAATGGTCATCGGATCATTTTATTCCTTTTTTGTTTCCTACCTTTTTTTTTTACTATGTATTTGATGGATGAAGAGCTGTGATATTTTTTCTTGGCATACATCATCAATCTGTTTATTCTATTTGATGAGTGTGAGGCAGTTTCTATAGGTCAATAGGGTTCCAGTGTTGTTTTAAAAAAAAACTTTAAAAAAAAATGATCCCAGCAATTAATATGTAAGAGGCTAACAGACTACAATTGGTTAATGGAAAATATGTATGTTTATGCCGAAACCTTTGAAAACACCATTTAGGGGAAGGTCCTAAATATATTGTGTTATAAAAAGAAGGTTTAATGTTATCTAAATGTGTAAACATGTACTACCTTTGTCTGAGTTTTGTTGTCACGTCTTATGTCTAAATATATAACTTGCAATAATTGGACTTTCAAGTTTGCCGATGCTTAACTTCAATCATAAATATCTTTAATTATGATTAAGTAAAACTTATGTAATCTTGATATTATGATAATATACATTGAGATGAGTCTAACAAGATCCCGAATTCCCGGCTATACTTTAACTTACATGTCAATCCCTAAAGATGGTCAAACACTAATACAGAGTATGCGAATAATGGCAAGTGTTAAATTGTTGCGAGTTAAATGGAATGGAGGATGTATATGGAAGGCGTAGTCTTTCACTAGACTTTACTACATGACACTCGACAGTCAGACACTTGGTGATGATTTGGCATAAGTTTGATTTGTAATATATGCTTTTCATAAATTATATGTGAAAGCGAACTTAACAATTATGGAATCTAAGACCCTCATTTTGAGTAGTTGCATATGTTGTGCTTCAATCGTCAAGACAATGGATCTCCCGTCAGGATTTTTTATTTATTTATTTTTTTAATTACATATTAAATTTAAACAAGTGCGCTGTAATTATAAGATGAAAAGGACAAAATACACTCAATTGTTACACCCACAACAGATTTAATGCCACAATTTCTTCTTATAAGTTGTCGACTTGTTGGTTGGGACTAAAATTTGTCTTTAGAACCTGGAAAACCATTATTAACTTATAAAAGATTTATACACTTCTCTCCTTCACATGCTAACAGCTTGGTATTGGGAAGATGATGTTTCCAGTATTTAAGTATGATAGTTTTATTTTTAATTCAGTTGATAGTTTTTTGTGAGTGATTTTGCTGTAAGTATCTTGAAGTTAATAATTTGGCATTGTGTATGCTTGCTTATGTAAAAAATTATCTTGTGCAGAGCATCACAAATTCTGAGTGCCCGAAAGAACTAGAGCCAGCAGACAGGAAGACTGCAGTCCATTGTAATCTTGTGAGGAGGAATGAGAACTGCCCTGTATGTTTTTTCGTTCACTTGCATTATTCTTTTGGCCATGTTGATTTTGTGTTGTAAAGTTCAATAACTTATACTTCATGCAGGAACCACAAAAACGAAAAGTTCCATTCCAGGGCGTTGGAAGAACGTTGGGTACTAGCCACTCGACCCCTTCTGACTCTTCTGCTGCTGTAACTGCTCGCAGCTCTGCTCCAGCCCCTGTGATGGGCCTAGTCGTGGATGATAAACTACCATCAACCTCTATCCAGCTTAGGTTAGCTGATGGGACTCGTATGGTCTCACGTTTCAATTATCATCACACTATAAGAGATATCCATGCCTTCATTGATGCATCAAGGCCAGCTAGAACAGGAGTTTATACGCTGCAGATGATGGGATTTCCTCCCAGGCAACTAACTGATCTTGAGCAGACTATAGAGCAGGCTGGTCTTGCCAACTCTGTTGTCATCCAGAAATTCTAGCCGAACTTTGTTTCCTTGGCTTCTTTGTCTGCTGCTACATTGGCTAAGAGGCCAGAAGTCTACTCGTTTAGCAAAAATTAACAAATGATTGCTAGAAAGTTTAGTGGCTGTAAATTTCATGGAGCACATTGCATCATAGTTTTCATCACAGTGTTTCAACATAACTGGTTGCAATTTTTTTTACAGCATATCATTTCTGAATTGCTATTTGATGGAGCACATGGCATGGTTGTGTTAGATCCTTCCAAGGATAACCAGAGTCGCCAGCCCGCCACTTCTGCCTCCTTTCCACCCACCACCCCCATCAGATTGAATTCTCATGTCTATTCTCCACAGCCTCCAAGAGCACCACTTTCTAGTCGCCACCTACACGGCCCTACCAAAACCTCTCCTCCCTATACCCATTTACCACCACCACCCTCAACCACACACGGACATTTTTTTACTGTATAATCACCAAATCCACATCTCTGCCATTTGGTATTTTCTTTGGTTGTTGCGTAGGTGTGTAGATCATGTAAGGTCAGCAGTGCCAATTGTGATGGGGGTTGAATCGTTGAGGTGTGGTGTTGGTTTGGCGGGGTGTTTCATGTTTGTATGGTGGATTGGAGAGGGGAGAAGAAGAGGGATATAAGGGTTTGAATGTTTGAACACTATGTAAGGTCTTGTAAGTTGAAATGCAGGAACGTTGAGGTGTCAAAGAGCATTTACTGGATACTTGGGGAAGTTTTTGGGGTTATAATTGATTAGTATTAACCTTCTTCCATTCTATCAATTGTCCACTGAAATAATTCCTCCTATCGTAATTCCTTCTACTAGTATCATAATTATTCAGCTTATATTAATTACTGTACTCACCTTCGTTCTAGTTTACTTGTCAGAAATTTCATTTTATGCTATCCAAATTTTTGTCATGTTGTATTAGCATCGTTAACTTAAAGTTTGGCAAAATTTTCATTTTATGCTATCCAAATTGTTGTCAACTAAAATAAACTCATTAGAGTTTTTCTTAATTACTTTGTAAAAAACATTATATTTTGGACGCAATTAGAGTTTACGTATACAAACATTGTCTTTTAGTCACCAAACATTATGCGTTCTTATTTTTTTGCTTATTGACAAAGGATTACCTATTTGCTTCCCTTGCAGTGGTGGTTGTGCAAGATCAAAACATTTTTGAGTAAGATGATATGCTAAAGTAATAACCCTAACTCTTTATTTCTAATGTTTAACCTAGTCTTTAATCTATTATCCTATTAAAAAAATAAATAAGTTAAACCCATAGCGATAATTTGTATAAACATTCGCCCAAATTCAAAAATCCCAATTACCAATATATAACTTAGCTGGTGACTGGTCCAAAAATAATTTGATCCAAAAATTATGTTATACTGTGATTGCACAGTTGACAACTATTAGGGCTTAATCGCTACTCTGTATGCCAACATTTACAACCTACCATAGGAGTTCAAGAAAGTCACCAGAATTAACCAACTTCAGTATCAATTAGAACATGGGCATATGGAAGCAAGAACAGATATTCTTCAATAACATTTTTCCATTTATTTAACCAAGAGTACCGCGAAACTCTAACAATGTCCTACCAAAATTTTCAACTAGATATCAACATTACTACATCTATTAGCCGCAAATGCACAAATCAATTACAAAGGCTCAAGGGACATCAGAAAAAACTACACTAAAAAAAATCCACTTCGCCTACTATAACAACAGGGGGATCAATTTCAATACGAGATGCCTTCCCCTGTGCCACCAACTGAGGTAAAGCATTTGCTTCTTTGGCCGTAATTCCTGGTGCTGTCCACAACGTAACATGAGGCCATTCGTTCTTGGATTCAATCTTTTCATCATCCACTGAGCCAATGCGTGCCTCCAAGGCAGCCATATTATCAGACATCAGCAAAGCGGTCAACTCGACGTCTACTTTTCGGTTAAGAAATTGACCAAAGTTAGCCACTGCTATGACACCATGACTTCTCTTATGAGCAAGAGTAACATGAGCCTTCCGGAGGTTGACTTCCAAATTCTTGTCACTAAAAAAAGGTTCAACCTTGGAGTTGTAATCAGCAATCTGCAGATGAGGCAAAACAAACTGCAAATATCAATATACAAGATAAAGCCAGAAATGAGCCTCCAAATAGAGTACTAAATATTAGGGTCATACATGATAACTACAAATTCAGAAAAATACAAGTTAGCCCCTCCAGTTTAGGTAGGTTAAATAAGGACACTCTCCTACCTTTGAATTACCGCTAACCGCTTTTGGTACCAAAATTATGGAGGGTCAACAGATTTGGGTTATAAAGTCGCTGGTTTTATGAATATATGGTCGAGGACATGAAAATATTATCATAAAACTTTAACAATCATTGAACTGTGTATCCATTGTAAGATGGGAACATGTCACTGGCATCTTCAAAAAATATTAGATTCACAAAATTAAATGCAGAAAACAGAATCAACTATACCGAAGAAAGGAGGTTGACAGATTCGTGAGACACGACTAACAGTATGAGCACCAAGTATCAAATCTTAGAAATGTTGTCATAGGTAATACTAGAGTAAATACCAGCGTGGGTTCTGAAATAACCTCCACATCAAATAACTACCTATAAAGCTTAAAAGGAATAAAGGGAGGAAACAAAAAGGCGTAGTCCCATGACATCTTTCTTTTTGGATTTAAGTTCCTCAATACTGATTCAAGGACTTCAAAGAAAAGGCAAATATGTTTGAAACGACTGTAACAAGCCTAACTAGTCAATAGATAGCAAATGTAACAATTGAAGTTAAGACTAATATGCAATGCAAGCATCAGATCCATTATAAATATTGAATGATTTGTAAACACTTACATAACTAAGAAGATGGCCTATTTCAGTAACAGGCAAACTGACACCAGCATAGACAATTGCTCCAAGCCTTCTCTTTTCAGAACTAGGAGTTATATAATCACCTTTTGCAATTGTTTTTAATTGCTCCAACACACTGTTCACAGCACTCTCGAATGGAACCTGTAAAATACAAATACAATCCTCAGCCAATTTTGGAATTAGTACATGCAAATAATAGTGACCTTAAACATTAGTCTTCAACTGCAATTCAGCACTTAATGTTTCAGAATATTCTGCTGTTATTTGAAAGAAAAAAAAAATCATAATCAAATGACATAATAATTTATTCCAGACCTAAAGTCTATATAGCATGAATGTTTCCGTTCATAGGATTTGCGAAAAAAAGAGGCAATGTTAGCCTTTACTAGAGAGTGAGGGACTACTAGAAGATATTAAACAGTGAATTGTTAATCTTAGAGTTAGTAACCTTTGTAATCATCAAAACACACTCACTCGAACCCCTCCACGCACCCACTGCATGGTCCAAACCCTGAACCAAACCCCACCGCACCCCATCTTTGAAACGGCAAAACCCCACCCCTTCATCCCAACTTCCCACCATGAAACCTCGCCGTACCCCCTCATCCCCCCCCCCAACAACACACACACAGATATAATTTCGTTTGTTAACAATTTCAGTAACCACTATATTTTGACTAAAACATTCTCTAACAGCACCCTACAGGTTTTTATAATATATTATAACTATTCCCTCAGTTCCTCTCAATTACAACTGTTAGAATAGTTGTTTAAACAGCATGTAATGCAATAATCTATGTCCTTCAACAGGTGATATCAAAATTCAATGGCCTAATTTATCAATCAATACTTCAGTAAAAAGCAATGTAAACCCAGAGAGAAGCCTGGAATGATAAAAACTCAAGATGATGTTAATAAAAATTCCAATTTCTTAAAACAAATAGCAACCAAAAATAAAAGAAAAGGTTAACCTGAATAGAGTTGAGGTATTCAGAATTGCACAATAAAGTCTCTTGCATATGCCTTTCCCAATTTGCCCAATCTTTTGCATAGGAGCCTTTAGTCGAGTCCATTCTGCATTTTAATAACAACTCAAAATCTAAGACATCTCAAACAAAAGGGAAAAACTATATAGAGCTTTATGAGTTCAGGAGATCAGGAGATCAATTCATCGCTTTTCTTTCATTTATTTTTTCATAAACGAATTCTGTAGCAAAAAGTTCAATTTCCGTTATTCGATGACATAAATCATTTAATTCCTTACTAATGTGTAAAGAAACCGTCAATGAACTGAAATTTCATTTAGATATGGTCACAAAAATCCTATTAACCGATAAGAATTTGTACTTGAAAAATCATAATTCTAATAAGACACATGGTAAGCCATGGTCTGATTTGAATACTGCGAGCACAAAACAATATAACATATCGCATCAAACACAAACCTTCCATGTCGCTTTGTATGTAGCTTGTATAGGTTGATCCCTTCCTCCAGCACGGATTTCACAGGATCAGGTAGAGAAGCCCTAAGTAATAAAAAATTCACAAATAGTCATATAATGTGCCCCTAAAAAATTTCATACCATAAAACAAATCAACAGATAACACCAGCTTCATGAATGATATACCATTCAAAATTCATATTGGTTTGTGTTAAAAGGAGCATTTGTTGATAGCCTTATTTATTTTGAGTTGTGAGAGGCTAGGAAGCCAACAAGATTCGAACTAAGTTCACCTTTGATATGGGGATTTGCATAGGAATTTGAATAGGCCTCAAGAAAGGTTGTTTCATGCCTGAAAACGCCGTGACATGGGTATGCAGTGGAAGACCAGTAAATCTTTTAGAATATCCTTTGCACAAAAAAATCTTTGCTTGAACTTTCTTCATACTTTTATAGTCAGCGTATTTCTTTTCTAAAGTTTTTTAATTTGTAAATTCAATCATTTATAGAAGCTTTTGGTTCATGAATATTAACAAGGAAAATGAGTCAACCTTTTTGATTAACTAAGAGTTAAAGAGTAAGTTTATATTTTCAAATTAAGCTGTTAATGTGAGGGGGTAACTGGTTGTATAGGTTAATAAACACATGTCATAATAACATTGGTTACTTTTAAAAATTTTGCAACGAATGCACCGAGGCCTGCAGTAGTGTTCACTTATGCAAGGAGGAAGCAGGGCAAGGGCACCAAAATTCAATTGATAGGTGAGGGGCTGAGGTGTCAAGTTCTGTTAGAAAAGTTTGTTATGGGGAATCTTTTCTGTTAGTGGGATGTGAGGGAAAACTAGTCGTATTTAAGTGGCCTCTGCTGTAATAATCATCAAAAAGAATATTATTAAGCATTTGCGTAGTGAGAGAGCTCCTTTCCTCTGGAACAAAAGGGGTATTGAGTGATTACGTTGATCAATTCAATACAAATTATCCTCAACCTTACTCTAATTGCTGTCATTACAGAAATCCTTGCCTGAGTTCATCCAATTTATAAAACAATTCAATACAAATTATCCTGAACCTTACTCTAGTTTGCTTCTTTAGTAAAGTTTTAGGTCAAACGCCACAAGTACCCTTATCCCACTTAAATTTATAAAACAATTTTTAAAACTTCAAACAACCCCTTAACAGTTAATTACTCCCATTTAATTTACACAGTTAAAGTGTACCTTGAAGCAGAGCAGTAAAATTAGAATGATGCACATGGGGCACTTTAATACTTGTCCAATCTCATCTATTTACCCAATTCATTGGTTTATGAGCATATAAACATTGAAACTATTGTGTAACGGAGGTAGTACAATTGATGGGAACATTTTCCTCTCATCTTTAAACACATACATAGAGAATATCCAAGTAAAATGAGCTTTAAGTTAGGCAATCTAGGACAGTCTATTCCTAAATGCAGGAGTCCAGAGATGTTCTATGACTAAAAATTCCCTGAGCTCCCTAAGCCCAGTGAAGGCGAACACCCAGATGTCATTGTTGGTCTTATCCTAAATAGACAGCATCATTTGCTAGTGGCTTATATGGTGAGGTAGAGAAGAAGACAGTGGCGTATGCCCATTTACAAGTCAGACTTAAAAAGGCCTCTGCATATGTTAAAGAAGAACCAGAGCACAAAAGAACATCTAGAACTCTCTTTTTGCAAACATAGAGATTTCTGAGTTAGGAAAGAAGAAATAGTAATAAACAAAGATTTTCCATTTTAGGAAGACACAAACCTTTCAGCTTTGAGCAAAGGCATCTTCACAACAGAACCAAAGCGTTCAATTAATTCAGCTTCAAACTCTTTACGGCTCTAGGGAGAAAAGATCAAAATAGTAAAATAATTAGGACATTCTCAAAGTAGCTACACTGGAATCAAATAATTTAGTAACTCCATGCCAATCAGATTCTCCTACTTTGCTGCATATTGGTATTTGGGGAAGGTGGATGGAAGAAGATCATAGTTACAGTGACAAATGTTTAAACAAATAGGTCATGTGAATTTTGGATAGTCCAATTGACACATGTAAATGCATGAACTTGAAGATCATTTCAAGATAGGTGACACTATCATACCTTGCCCTCATATAGGTAGGGGTGAAAGTTCGGTTTTCGGTTTGGTTTATAGGCCAAACCGAAACCGAACCACCCTAATTCGGTTTTTGGTTTTTGGAAACCAAACCGCACCACTTTACTTTTGAAACCAAACCAAACCAAACCATATAAATTTCGGTTTCAAAAGAAAAAACCGAACCAAACCGAATTTTTTTGGGCCTTGTTTATTTGGGCTTTAATCTGCAATTTTTGTTAGGGGTGAAACAAATTCGGGTTAAAACCGAACCGAACCGAAAACCGAACCGAATAAGAAATATGGTTCGGTTTTTTTTTTTGAAGTGGTTCGGTTCGGTTTTTTAAAAAAAAATATTTCGGTTTTCGGTTTGGTTTCGGTTTGAGGAAATGGAAAACCGAAAAAAACCGAAAACCGAAATTTAGGCCCAGTATATAAGGAAAAAAAAAAAACCCTAACCCTCATTCTCTGATTCTCTCTCCTGACTTCCTCAATCCTCAGTTCGCCTCTTCCTCACTCCAACCCACCTAACCCTCATTGCGAATTTCTCAGTCTCTCACCCTCACCTTCTCAGTTTCTCAATCATCTCTTTTGTGTTTCTCAGAATTCTCACTCTCCAATTCTCCATCGTTCACCGGCACAGCGCACTCGTTCAGGCGTTCACTGTGACACCGTCCACCGTCCAAAGGTATGCTTTTAAGTTTTGATTATGCTTGATGTTCATATTTTTTTAGGGTTTTAATTATGATTAGTGTTAAATGTTAATTACGAAAATCTGCAAATTACATGTACAAATTTGTTAAACATTCTGATTAGGGTTTTAATCTATGCTTGATGTTCATATTGCGATGTTGTTTCTGAATTTTCTATTCTGTACAAATTAGTAAAACATTCTGAATTTTCTGGTATTTTGATGCTTCGGGGTTTTGGTCTATTCAAGGGTATTTTGGGTTTTGGTCTAGTAAAACATTCTGATTAGGGTTTTGGTCTAGTAAAACATTCTGAATTTTCTGGTATTTTGAAGCTCTATTCGATTGGACTCTGTTGAAGATTGTTTCAGATTATTAGTTAGTTATTAATTCAAGGGTTCGCATGATTAATAGCATTATCATTGTCTTGATAAGTGTTTATTAGATTGTTGATCTTTGTTATTATTGTTAATTTTGATTTTACTTGTTTTGGGTACAGTTAGTCAGTTAGTGCTTAATTTGATTGTTTTTGGGTGGTGGGGTGGAATCTTAGGGGGCTAATTATTATTGCTAAATTGTTATTGTCTTTGGTTTAGTTAGCCAGTTACTACTGATTTTGTTTATTAGGGGTATAATTATTATTCCCTTTAAAAGATCCAATATTCTTAATTTATGAGTTTGCATGTATTCTTACAGATTGTTATTCAACCACGAATTATTGAATGACAACCAACGTGGGTGGTGTTCCTGACCAGCCTCAATCCGAACATGAGACTGACCAAGTCTCTCAAAATCAGAAAAAAGAACAGGGAGCAAAAAGGAAGAGGATGAAAGAACGCTCTGAAGTTTGGGAGCACTTTGATAAAGAAGACTTACCTTCTGGAATGCAGGCAATTTGCAAGTATTGTGGGATGAGCTACAAGTGTGGGGCAAAGAAAAACGGCACTAGTGTGTTATGGGCTCATATTTCGCGATGTCGTAAGTATCCCTTTAACACCCCTAAAGATTCAAAACAAAGTTTGCTTTCATTTAAAAGTGCTAAAGAACCAAGTGGTGGTACTAGTGGGTTGACATACCACAAATTTGATGCTGGTAGTATTAGAAAAGCTTTGTCATTTATGGTGATTGTTGATGAACTTCCATTTAAGTTTGTTGAAGGTATAGGTTTTAGACATTTTTGTGGTGTAATAGAGCCTAGATTTAATGTTCCTTCTCGAATTACAATAGCCAAAGATTGTTTTGAAACATATTTAACTGAAAAACGAAAGCTGAAAAATGTGTTAAAAAGGTGTAATTCAAGAGTTTCTTTAACCACTGATACATGGACCTCTATACAACAAATCAATTACATGTGCTTGACTGTCCACTTTATTGATAATAATTGGAAATTACACAAAAGAATTCTGAATTTTTGTCCTATTTCTAGTCATAAGGGTGATGATATTGGCAAAGAAATTGAAAAGTGTTTGCTTGATTGGGGGCTTGAAAATGTCATGTGCATAACAGTTGATAATGCTAGCTCAAATGATACTGCAATTGGGTATATGAGAAGGAAAATAAATGGGTGGAAAACTGGGGTTCTTAAGGGTCGTTTCCTTCACATGCGTTGTGTTGCACACATTGTCAATTTGGTTGTTTCTGATGGGTTGAAAACTGTTAATGAGTCGGTTCAACGTGTTAGGCATGCTGTTAGGTTTATCAAACAATCTCCTGCTAGGTTGCAAAGGTTTAAAAAATGTGTCTTAGATGAAAAAATCAACACAAAAAAGGGATTGTGCCTTGATGTGCCTACTAGGTGGAACTCCACCTATTTGATGTTGAATGCTGCTATTGAGCTTCAAGATGCTTTTGAGAGGTATTCTGGGGAAGACCCTCACTATGTAGTTGATTTGAATGAGAGGGATGGTAAGGGTAGCCCAGATTCTGATGATTGGAATAATGTAAGAAGACTTTCTGAATTTCTACAAGCCTTTTATGATCTGACCTTGCATGTCTCTGGCTCTTTATATGTCAGTTTGAATTTGTTTTTTCATGAATTGGTGAGTGTTGCTGTACTTATGAAAGATTTGGTTTCAAGTGATGATGTGGATATGTGTCTTATGGCTTGTAGAATGAAAGAAAAATATGAAAAGTATTGGGGTGATCCAGAAAAAATAAACCTCCTGATTTTTATTGCCGTTGTCCTTGATCCTCGTTATAAGCTTGATTATGTTGAGTGGATGATAACTGAAATTTATGACCCTATTGTTGCATCAAAGTTAGTTGATAATGTGAAGGTAGCTTTGAATGCTTTGTATGAGGAGTATCGTGTTTCTTCTAGTAATGATGTGAATAGGGAGGAAGTGTCTTCAAGTAAGGATGGCAAAACTCCATTGAGTCCCAAACATAAAAGTATTGAAGTCTTAAAGAGTAAGTATAAGAAACACAAGTGTGAGAGAGATGGAGATGCAAAAATAGAGTTAGACAAATATTTGGAGGAGGATACAGCGGAGGATATTGATGAATTTGACATTTTGAGCTGGTGGAAGTTCAATTGTTCAAGGTTTCCTACTGTGGGGAGAATTGCCCGTGATGTTCTTGCTGTCCCTGTTTCGACAGTAGCTTCTGAGAGTGCATTCAGCACTGGGGGCAGGGTTCTAGATCAGTTTAGGAGCTCATTAACTCCTCGAGTTGTAGAAGGTCTTGTTTGTGCTCAAAATTGGTTACGTGCTTCACCATTTCCAAGTATTGAAGAATGTTTAGAGGAAGTTGAGCTTCTTGAAGAGGGTAATATATAAGAACATCTAATCATAAGTTACTTATTTTCATTATGTGTATATATTTTTAACTTGGTTATTTTTGTTATGAATTATGATAGACTTGAAGAATATGGCAGTTGGTGATGCTGATATTGATGAAGTGCTTGAAATAATAGACTGATGTGGCTCTTTGCTCATTGCTGACTTGCTGTTGCCACTTGCCAGACTTGCTACTGCCTTGCTCTATCACTGCTTTTGCTGCTGACCTGCTGTTATGATGCTGCTGCTGCCCTGCTGCTTGTTGCTACTTGGTCTATGCTGCTTGTTGCTACTTTTTTTACTGCCTTTTAGAACTTGGTCTATGCTGCTTGTTGCTACTGCTGTTAAACAATTGTTAAAGTTGTAATGTTGAACAATTTTTTTTTTTTTTGGATGAAGTGTTGAACTTTTAAAACTTTGAATTATAACTTTGAAGTTTTAGAACTTGTTAATGTTGTTTAAATCTCATTAAGCATTTATGCTACTACATATGTTGATGAATATAATATTTATATGATTTAAGCCCACAAAAATTGCAGATTAAAGCCCAAATAAACAAGGCCCAAAAAAATTCGGTTTGGTTCGGTTTTTTCTTTTGAAACCGAAATTTATATGGTTTGGTTTGGTTTGGTTTCAAAAGTAAAGTGGTGCGGTTTGGTTTCCAAAAACCAAAAACCGAATTAGGGTGGTTCGGTTTCGGTTTGGCCTATAAACCAAACCGAAAACCGAACTTTCACCCCTAATTTTTGTGGGCTTAAATCATATAAATATTATATTCATCAACATATGTAGTAGCATAAATGCTTAATGAGATTTAAACAACATTAACAAGTTCTAAAACTTCAAAGTTATAATTCAAAGTTTTAAAAGTTCAACACTTCATCCAAAAAAAAAAAAAATTGTTCAACATTACAACTTTAACAATTGTTTAACAGCAGTAGCAACAAGCAGCATAGACCAAGTTCTAAAAGGCAGTAAAAAAAGTAGCAACAAGCAGCATAGACCAAGTAGCAACAAGCAGCAGGGCAGCAGCAGCATCATAACAGCAGGTCAGCAGCAAAAGCAGTGATAGAGCAAGGCAGTAGCAAGTCTGGCAAGTGGCAACAGCAAGTCAGCAATGAGCAAAGAGCCACATCAGTCTATTATTTCAAGCACTTCATCAATATCAGCATCACCAACTGCCATATTCTTCAAGTCTATCATAATTCATAACAAAAATAACCAAGTTAAAAATATATACACATAATGAAAATAAGTAACTTATGATTAGATGTTCTTATATATTACCCTCTTCAAGAAGCTCAACTTCCTCTAAACATTCTTCAATACTTGGAAATGGTGAAGCACGTAACCAATTTTGAGCACAAACAAGACCTTCTACAACTCGAGGAGTTAATGAGCTCCTAAACTGATCTAGAACCCTGCCCCCAGTGCTGAATGCACTCTCAGAAGCTACTGTCGAAACAGGGACAGCAAGAACATCACGGGCAATTCTCCCCACAGTAGGAAACCTTGAACAATTGAACTTCCACCAGCTCAAAATGTCAAATTCATCAATATCCTCCGCTGTATCCTCCTCCAAATATTTGTCTAACTCTATTTTTGCATCTCCATCTCTCTCACACTTGTGTTTCTTATACTTACTCTTTAAGACTTCAATACTTTTATGTTTGGGACTCAATGGAGTTTTGCCATCCTTACTTGAAGACACTTCCTCCCTATTCACATCATTACTAGAAGAAACACGATACTCCTCATACAAAGCATTCAAAGCTACCTTCACATTATCAACTAACTTTGATGCAACAATAGGGTCATAAATTTCAGTTATCATCCACTCAACATAATCAAGCTTATAACGAGGATCAAGGACAACGGCAATAAAAATCAGGAGGTTTATTTTTTCTGGATCACCCCAATACTTTTCATATTTTTCTTTCATTCTACAAGCCATAAGACACATATCCACATCATCACTTGAAACCAAATCTTTCATAAGTACAGCAACACTCACCAATTCATGAAAAAACAAATTCAAACTGACATATAAAGAGCCAGAGACATGCAAGGTCAGATCATAAAAGGCTTGTAGAAATTCAGAAAGTCTTCTTACATTATTCCAATCATCAGAATCTGGGCTACCCTTACCATCCCTCTCATTCAAATCAACTACATAGTGAGGGTCTTCCCCAGAATACCTCTCAAAAGCATCTTGAAGCTCAATAGCAGCATTCAACATCAAATAGGTGGAGTTCCACCTAGTAGGCACATCAAGGCACAATCCCTTTTTTGTGTTGATTTTTTCATCTAAGACACATTTTTTAAACCTTTGCAACCTAGCAGGAGATTGTTTGATAAACCTAACAGCATGCCTAACACGTTGAACCGACTCATTAACAGTTTTCAACCCATCAGAAACAACCAAATTGACAATGTGTGCAACACAACGCATGTGAAGGAAACGACCCTTAAGAACCCCAGTTTTCCACCCATTTATTTTCCTTCTCATATACCCAATTGCAGTATCATTTGAGCTAGCATTATCAACTGTTATGCACATGACATTTTCAAGCCCCCAATCAAGCAAACACTTTTCAATTTCTTTGCCAATATCATCACCCTTATGACTAGAAATAGGACAAAAATTCAGAATTCTTTTGTGTAATTTCCAATTATTATCAATAAAGTGGACAGTCAAGCACATGTAATTGATTTGTTGTATAGAGGTCCATGTATCAGTGGTTAAAGAAACTCTTGAATTACACCTTTTTAACACATTTTTCAGCTTTCGTTTTTCAGTTAAATATGTTTCAAAACAATCTTTGGCTACTGTAATTCGAGAAGGAACATTAAATCTAGGCTCTATTACACCACAAAAATGTCTAAAACCTATACCTTCAACAAACTTAAATGGAAGTTCATCAACAATCACCATAAATGACAAAGCTTTTCTAATACTACCAGCATCAAATTTGTGGTATGTCAACCCACTAGTACCACCACTTGGTTCTTTAGCACTTTTAAATGAAAGCAAACTTTGTTTTGAATCTTTAGGGGTGTTAAAGGGATACTTACGACATCGCGAAATATGAGCCCATAACACACTAGTGCCGTTTTTCTTTGCCCCACACTTGTAGCTCATCCCACAATACTTGCAAATTGCCTGCATTCCAGAAGGTAAGTCTTCTTTATCAAAGTGCTCCCAAACTTCAGAGCGTTCTTTCATCCTCTTCCTTTTTGCTCCCTGTTCTTTTTTCTGATTTTGAGAGACTTGGTCAGTCTCATGTTCGGATTGAGGCTGGTCAGGAACACCACCCACGTTGGTTGTCATTCAATAATTCGTGGTTGAATAACAATCTGTAAGAATACATGCAAACTCATAAATTAAGAATATTGGATCTTTTAAAGGGAATAATAATTATACCCCTAATAAACAAAATCAGTAGTAACTGGCTAACTAAACCAAAGACAATAACAATTTAGCAATAATAATTAGCCCCCTAAGATTCCACCCCACCACCCAAAAACAATCAAATTAAGCACTAACTGACTAACTGTACCCAAAACAAGTAAAATCAAAATTAACAATAATAACAAAGATCAACAATCTAATAAACACTTATCAAGACAATGATAATGCTATTAATCATGCGAACCCTTGAATTAATAACTAACTAATAATCTGAAACAATCTTCAACAGAGTCCAATCGAATAGAGCTTCAAAATACCAGAAAATTCAGAATGTTTTACTAGACCAAAACCCTAATCAGAATGTTTTACTAGACCAAAACCCAAAATACCCTTGAATAGACCAAAACCCCGAAGCATCAAAATACCAGAAAATTCAGAATGTTTTACTAATTTGTACAGAATAGAAAATTCAGAAACAACATCGCAATATGAACATCAAGCATAGATTAAAACCCTAATCAGAATGTTTAACAAATTTGTACATGTAATTTGCAGATTTTCGTAATTAACATTTAACACTAATCATAATTAAAACCCTAAAAAAATATGAACATCAAGCATAATCAAAACTTAAAAGCATACCTTTGGACGGTGGACGGTGTCACAGTGAACGCCTGAACGAGTGCGCTGTGCCGGTGAACGATGGAGAATTGGAGAGTGAGAATTCTGAGAAACACAAAAGAGATGATTGAGAAACTGAGAAGGTGAGGGTGAGAGACTGAGAAATTCGCAATGAGGGTTAGGTGGGTTGGAGTGAGGAAGAGGCGAACTGAGGATTGAGGAAGTCAGGAGAGAGAATCAGAGAATGAGGGTTAGGGTTTTTTTTTTTTCCTTATATACTGGGCCTAAATTTCGGTTTTCGGTTTTTTTTCGGTTTTCCATTTCCTCAAACCGAAACCAAACCGAAAACCGAAATATTTTTTTTTTAAAAAACCGAACCGAACCACTTCAAAAAAAAAACCGAACCATATTTCTTATTCGGTTCGGTTTTCGGTTCGGTTCGGTTTTAACCCGAATTTGTTTCACCCCTACATATAGGTTATAAAACATAAGCAATACATAACCGGCATTAGGAGATGCCTTGTCAAGGTTTCCCTGCCCCACATAGAAAACAAGAAATAATCTTTAGTATGAGTTAATTTGATAAATAACCTCATCCAAACAAGATTGAAAAAAAGCAGTACCGGATGATTTACTCGTTGAAGCACGCGTAGCATAAAAACAGATAATGCATCCAAACAAAAAGGATTTGAATCAGTGCCTGCACAACAGGAAACCCACCGTTAAGTTACATCAATCCAGGAAAATGGTAAACAGAGAAACTTTACTGTAGTATGTCATAAACTAATGTAATAGAATGGGTCAACGGGGTCAAGAAGCCAAGTCAGCCACCACTTTTGGTGTATTCAAGGCGCACAAAACAGGGGCAGCAAGGGTCCAAGGTGGTCAGAGACAATGAGCATCAGGACAAAGCTAATTAAGAGAGTTCAAGGAAAGAAGCAAGCTGCTTCAACAATGTCATTTGATGGTTTTTCCATTCTTAGCTTAGTAATCACATGTATCCCTTAAGCTTGAGTATATGTAAGGTAGTAAGTCCATTTAGAAAAGTATCCAGAAATTTGAGAGAAAACATTAGAGAGTTGTAGCCTAAAGCTACTATGAGATTCATAACCTCAAGTTATGTTTATCCTTTGAAATTCAACCTTCAATCAATCAAGTACTCAAGCATTCAACCTTTAATTACATTCTCTTGTTCGAAATACATTGGCCGAAATTAATACATAACAACTTGGTATCAGAGCGGTGGTCCTGCGCCCGCCGATACCGTAAACCACCACCCCGTACTAGTTTTTAAAAAAAATAAAAAAAGAGAACAACTCAACCATGAGGACAACACCCTGCAACGGTTGTCAGCCATAGAAGAAACATTCGCCACTCTTTCAACGCAGATGTCAATTCTCCAAGAAAAATTGCAACCTCAAGATGACAACCTTACTCGCCCCGTGTCGGCAGCTAT